GAGAGTGGATGCCAGGAGAATGGATAGTATCGCTTTCACAATTAATGCTTTCATATTTTTCGATATTTCTATTATTCTGTTCCTAGTTTGGGTTAAGAATCTCCCCTCTCTCTCTCTCCACTGCTATTTATAGACTAATATTTTATTTGGGTTGCCATTATTTGGGTTAAGAATCTCCACTCCTCAAAATTTTAAAGTACTATATATCGAGTTAATTGCATCACATGTTCCTAAATTATGACCATCATTATAAATTAGTCCTTAAAATTTTAAATATTCTAATTTCATCCCTAAATTATAATTGTCATTCTAAATTAGTTCTCAAACTTTTGAACATTTCAATTTCATCCCCAAACAATGACATACAATCTAAATTGGTTCCCAAATTTTTTGAACATACCAATTGCATCACAAACTATATGTATATATCTATTACATCCCTTGTTAATAAAATCATTAGGCCAAGTTATATTAATATATGTTTCAAAAAAAAATTTAGGTTAAACTATGGTTGAAACTAATTACATATTTGGATGAATTTGGGGATGGAATTGGAATATTCAAAAGTTTGGAGACCAATTTAAAAAGAGGGTCATAGTTTAGGGATGAAATTAGAATGTTCAAAAGTTTAAGGGCTAATTTAGAATGGAAGTCATAATTTGATGATGAAATTATAATATTCAAAAGTTTAAGGACCAATTTAAAATGAGGGTTATAGTTTGGGGACATAAAATACAATTAACTCATATATTTTAGATATTTTCTTTATATATTTTTATTAAAAATATATTCTCATCCCCTACAATTTTATAAATTTATCTTCTTTACAATTTTATAAGTTGGAATAAATTTAATTGCTTTTCTTCTCACTGAAAAAAAAAAAGGAGAGAGAGATTTTGCTACCAATACTTTTCATTGTCCGGTGAAACTAGTTTAAACAATATCATCGGAAAAGAAAGAACACAAAATTGTAACGTGTCTTTTCTGGAAAGATTATGAAATTTGGCTAGCAAACAATGAGTGAATTTGACCTATTATTTCAAACACAAACCAACTATAGTTGTTGTTTCTTTGAATTCATTGCTTTTCATTTCACTAGTAAAATTAAGGGTTTAACTACGCATTTAGTACATAAACTATTAGTTTTAGTCCGTTTTAGTACTTAAATTTTCATTTTCTTTAAAATCATACCTAACATTTAGTTTTTGTTTTATTTTAATAACCCGCCGTTAAAAACTTAACAGACGACCTCATCGGCCGCCGCATCTACAGTCATCAGCCGTCGCATCCATTGGCCGATGAAGCCTAAACTTTCTAGCATGCACCTTTTGGACTCCCTAAACTCGATTTCGGCCTTCGTTTCATCTGGAAACGCCTCAATCTCCGCCAAATCGATGATGGACTCTTCGATTTCTTCATCCATTGATCTTCATAGTCCACCATCTGATGAGCTTGAAACTTGACTATGTTGGTCGACTCGTCATTCTCTCGTGGTCCACCGTTCGAATAGGTCGTCTGTCCATTGGAGTTATTTCACGTCAGCTCGTGCGTTAAGTTTTTAACGATGAGGCACTAAAATGAAACAAAAAATTAAACATTAAGTGTGATTTTGAAAAAAATGAAAGTTTTGTTACTAAAACGGACCAAAACTAATAGTTTATGTACTAAACGCATAGTTTACCCTAAAATTAAAGATGGTTAACATTAACTGATACAATTCTATTGACCACTTCAAATCATGTATGGAAATAAATTTATCGAAAGGGAAATGATATAAACTTGTAAGGTCTCTTTCTCAAAAATTATAAAACTTGGCTAGCAAACAAGTGTATTAAAATTCTGAACATGTTTTTCTACACACAAAAACAAACTATAGCAGTTGTTTCTTTCATTTCATTTCATTGTTTTTCTTCTCACTCACAAAAATTAGAGAGATTTTGCTACCATTACAATTTCATCGAAAAAGAAAGAAGATAAAATTGTAATCTATCCTTTTGGAAAGACTGGGAAATTTGGCTAGCAAACAATGAGTGTATGTGACCTATCATTTCACACAAACAAATTATAGTTGTTGTCTCTTTGAATTCATTCCTTTTCATTTCACTAGCAAAATTAAAGATGATTGTCGTTAATTGATACAATTCTATTGGACACTTCAAATTATGTATTGAAACAAATTTATCGAAAGGGAAATGATATCAACTTGCAGGGTTTCTTTCTGAAAAGATTACGAAACTTGGCTAGCAAACAATGAGTGTGTTAATTTTTTTTTTATTAATCTGAGATGAATATAATATAGTCCTGACAAAAATGATAAAAAGTTGATAATTTAATTTTTACAGACTACTTGTCATATGATGTACCACATGAAGCATTATGTTAACATAGACAATATGTCATGTTACTTTCAAGTTAAAACGACAAAGTTGAAAGACTTTAGATTGCAAATCAAGTTATGTTGTCCTGATCAATGGGATTGATTTAAGTAGTAAATAGCTTTATATCATTTAAATAGGTTTCGAGTTTGAGGTCTTATGTTAACCGAAAATTTTCGGTGAAAGACTCATCCACTAAAACCAGATGCATAACATGAGTCGATCCAAATTAATCGGGTATAACCCGAAAAACCAAGAGGATGACCCAAAAAAATCCAACTGCCCTGCCTGGTCCCAAACCTTCGAAAGGGGTAAGAAAAAAAAATTCATCATGGGATAGATTAAAAAATGGGCAAAAAACGTCATAGATTTCTTACGTATAAAACCAAATTTAATTCATCTTAGATACTTTTAAAGAGAAGGCTAAATTACGTAACTAAATCTCCTTCTAATGTTATGATTTAAACCAAATTTAATAGTATATTTAATCTATTGTTCAATTAATTTGAATAGTATATTACAAAAATCTATTATAAAGATGATTTTATCAATTCAATTTACTTCATTTAAAATGTCAGATTTGAATCGTTAACTCTATTTAATAAATCTAGTGTTTCATTCCACTAAATCGATGAATGATTTGAAGGAATTGTTTTTAACGTATGAAAATGATGAATAAGTAGTGCGACCGTTCTATTAACAAGGACATCCAGGGAAATGCATGTGTCCATTCCAGTGTACACCCAAAATCAAATGGCGAACATTTTCCTCAACTTAGCTCTTTTTGTCATCATCCATTTTTCTATTAAAGATGATTGACGTTAATTGATACAAATCTATTGACCACTTCAAATTATTTATAGAAACAAATTTATCGAAAGGGAAATGATATCAACTTGCAGGGTTTCTTTCTGAAAAGATTACGAAACTTAGCTAGCGAACAATGAATGTATATGACCTATCATTTCACACAAACAAATTATAGTTGTTGTCTCTTTGAATTCATTCCTTTTCATTTCACTTGCGAAATTAAAGATGATTGACATTAATTGATGCAAATCTATTGTCCACTTCAAATTATGTATAGAAACAAATTTATCGAAAGCAGGGATGGACCGACTAAGAAATTCTAAAATCTCTTTTATTTTAGATTCTCTTTGTATTTTTTTATTGATTATCTAATTTACACATTCTAAATTTTAATATAACTTCTTAAATTCGCATCCTCTCACATACATTTTTGTGTCCGTCCATGATCGAAAGGGAAATGATGTAAACTTGTAGGGTATCTTTCTAAAAAGATACGAAACTTGGCTAGCAAACAATGAGTGTGTTAAATTTTTTATTAATCTGTACGATACATGTTCAATAGACTTTCGATCATTTGATAATGAATGGTCATACATCCTTTTATTATGTCGTGCTTGAACTCAATATCTTACGAGATAACAAATTAACAATAATCACTTAGTTACTAAGATCACTTGATTTTACACGTATAGTAAATGTTTGAATAATTTTCACGCCAAGAAACGAACGATAATTGTTTTCTTCTTCAATTCATTGATTTTCCTATCACTTGCAAAAATGACAAAAGGTTGATAATTAGATTCTTACAGACGACTTGTCATATGATATGCCACACGAAGCATTATATGTCATGTTACATTTAAATTAAAACGACAAAGTTGAAAGGCTTTAGATTGCACATCAAAGTTCAGTTGTCTTTATCAATTTGTTGGTTTAAGTGATAAAGAGTTTGATATTATTTAAATAGGTTTAGAGTTTGAGATCTTATGTTTATAGAAAATTTCCGTTGAGAAACTCACCCACTAAAACTAAATATACGATATAAGTCAGTCTAAATTAATCAAAACAAAACTCTGAAAAATCAAGAAGATAATAATAAATAAATAAATAAAACCGGATCCCAAACCCACGAAACGGGTAAGAAAAAAATCATCATGGGATTGAATCTACATAGATTAAAAAATGGGCAAAAAAGTCATGAATGAAATCTGAAAACGATGTTGTACAATTGCTCATAGATTTGTTTAATTTTTATTTATTTTTAATAGTTTGAGTTATAAAATAATATTATTTTATAATTTATTATAAAATAATATTATTTTATAATTTATCTTAGCTATTGATAATGTACATATACCATGCAGACAGATACAAATGTTCGAACCTAATACTTTTAAAAAATAATATTCCTCTTAAACACTAAGATTGTTTGATGAATTTGTTTGTTCCAATAATTAAGTTTAGTGCTTTTAGTTAAACCTAATTACATATTTGATTTTTTACATATAAAATCAAATTTAATTCATCTTAGATACTTTTAAAGAGACGGTTAAATTACGCAATTAATCTCCTTCTAATGTTACAATTTAAACCAATATTTATATTATATTTAATCTATTGATCAATTAATTTTAATAGTAATTACAAAATCTATTATAAAAATGATTTTATCAAATTAATTGGCTTCATTTACAAAGTCAGATTTAAATCGTTAACTCTATTTAATAAATCTAGTGTTTCATCTCACTAAATTGATGAATGATTTGGAGTAATTATTTTTAACGTAAAAAATAGATGAATAAGTAGCGTGATCATTCAATTAACAGGGGACTTCCAAGGAAATGCATGTGTCTATTCCAGTGTACACCCAAAATCAAATGGCGAACATTTTCCTCAACTTAGCTCTTCTTGTCATCATCCATTTTGCTATGCTTGCTTTCTCTACCTCCATACTTACAGACCAGTCGGCCCTTCTTGCATTGAAAGATCATGTTATCCACGATCCTGGAAATGTGTTGGCAACTAATTGGTCATCTTCTACCCCTGTTTGCAATTGGTTTGGTGTCACCTGCGGGTCCAAACACCGCAGAGTCACGATTCTAAACCTTTCTGGATTAGAACTCGTGGGCACCCTCCCACCCCACTTGGGAAATTTATCATTCCTTTCTCTTCTTTCCATCAGTGGTAACAGTTTTCATGACGGATTACCTGTCCAATTATCGAAACTGAAACGACTGAAATGTATAGACTTTGGTAACAACAGATTCAGTGGAGAAATCCCTTTCTCTTTAGGCTATTTGCCAAAGCTAAAGATCTTGAGCTTGTATGGAAACCAGCTTTCAGGTTCAATACCCTCCTCCATCTTCAATATATCTTCGTTGCAAATTATTGATCTAAACAGTAATATGCTCACCGGTTCCATACCCTCTGTTCTAATCGATTTGCTTTCGCTCGAAGTCATCAATTTCAACGTCAATAATCTCACTGGTCATTTCCCAAAGGATATGTTTGATCGTCTTCCAAATTTGAAAGTACTGTTCTTGAGCGTTAACATGCTTTCAGGAAGAATTCCTGCCAGTTTGTTCAAGTGCAAAAAATTACAAACTTTATTCTTATCACTTAACCGATTGGAGGGGAGTCTACCGGTAGAGATTGGGAATTTGAGCATGCTTCAATTCTTCTCTATTGGTCAGAACCACTTTCAAGGTAATATCTACTGCCCATTTTTTAAAGTATCTTTGAGAACGTAAAAACGATGAGCTGATTTCCGAAAAAAAAACATGTTAATAAATAATAACACCAGTTTGAATGAATTTTGATTAAATTTGTTGAGAGAAATAGATAATTTATTTGAAAAATAGATAATTTGATGTGAATTTTATCATTGCAGGTGAAATTCCAGAACAGATTGGGAATCTAACTCGTCTTAGGCAGTTTGATTGTTCCCATAACAACTTCACAGGTGAATGAATAAAAGAAAACTAATTTACTTTCAAGTTCCTTAATTTGCAACTTTTTTTTTCTTCATACAAAAATATGACTTATCATCTTAATTTATTGCAGGTATGATACCACAACAGATTGGCAACCTAAAGATTCTTGAATTCTTGAATTTGGAAGATAACAAACTTGTTGGTCCAATTCCTCCTGCAATATTCAATACATCAACTCTGCATGTCATTTCTCTGCTACTAAATCAGTTCTCTGGCAGTCTTCCATCAAACATGGGAAATTGGCTTCCAAACTTGGAGGAATTATATATGGGGAACAATCAACTTGCTGGTCCATTCCCAATGTCTATTTCCAATGCCTCAAAGCTTATTATTCTTGATATGTCACACAATTACATTTCAGGGTCTATTCCTGACACTCTTGGCAATCTAAAAAATTTGAAGAAAATCAACCTGGAAGTTAATAATCTAACTTCCTCAGGGATGAGCTTTCTCTCTTCTTTGATAAACTGTAGAGGCTTGGAAGTCATGGATTTTGGTAGCAACCAATTGATCAGTGGTAAACTCCCAGGTTCGGTAGGAAATTTCTCAGATTCTCTTCAGGTATTCTTTGGTGCTAGGTGCAACATCAGGGGTAGCATCCCGAGTGAATTTGGCAACTTAAGTCACTTGATGGCCATAAAGCTAGATGGCAATAAATTGACAGGAATGATTCCTACTACACTAGGAGGATTAAAAGAGCTGCAGAGTCTTTCTCTTTCAGACAATAAGTTAGAAGGATGGATCCCGTCCGAGTTATGTCAGCTAAACAAGTTGGGTTTCTTGGTCTTGACCAACAACAAAATGTCTGGACCGATACCTTCTTGCTTGGGTGATGTTGTTTCTTTGAGGCAACTACTCCTTGGCTCCAATATGTTTTCTTCTTCAATACCTTCAACCTTGACAGGGCTTAATGATCTCCTGATCCTGAACTTGTCTTCAAATTCTCTCACTGGTCCTCTTCCAATTGATATTGGAAACTGGAAAGTTGTGACTAGTATGGATTTGTCGAACAATCAGTTCTCGAGTGATATCCCTACTGGAGTTGCAGATCTCAATGACCTCACTTATTTTTCTTTATCCGATAATAGAATCACAGGCTCTATTCCTGATTCATTTGGTGACTTGCTGAACTTGGAAACCTTGGATTTGTCGAGAAACAGTCTATCCGGAGAGATTCCCAAGTCCTTAGAGAAACTTCGTTATCTCAAATATTTCAATGTCTCTTTCAATAGACTTCAAGGAGAAATTCCCAATGGTGGATCATTCGGAAACTACTCAATTGAATCATTCGAGGGGAATGCAGCATTGTGCGGTGCAGCTCAACTTCGTGTCCCAAGCTGCAAAACTAAGCCTCATAGAAATTCCAAGGCAAGAACTAAGCTCATAACGTATGTAGCACTACCTGTTGCCTCTACAATTTTGGCGGTGGCTCTTATTATCGTTATCTTGCAAAGTAGGAAGAAGAAAGAAACATTAGAAACCCAAGAGCAAGAAGAGTTGTTACCTTTAAGAATGTGGAGACAATTTTCATACCAAGAGCTCCATCAAGCTACTGATGGATTCTGTGATAGCAGATTGCTTGGTAGCGGAAGTTATGGTTCAGTATATCAAGGGACTCTCCCAGATGGAATGACATTTGCAGTAAAAGTCTTCAAGTTAGAGCTAAAAGGAGCCCTTAAGAGCTTTGACATCGAATGTGAAGTTCTCCGCAACATCCGTCACCGAAATTTAACCAAAATCATAAGTACGTGCTCTAATAATCTTGATTTCAGAGCCTTGGTACTTGAGTTTATGCCCAATGGGAGTCTTGATGAATGGTTGTATTCCAGCAATCATTTTCTGGATATCCTACAAAGGTTGATCATACTGATAGATGTTGCATCTGCTTTAGAGTATCTCCATCATGGTCATACAACACCAGTGGTTCATTGCGATTTAAAGCCCAGCAATGTTCTATTAGATGAAGATATGGTTGCGCATTTAACTGATTTTGGAATCGCGAGACTCTTATGTGAAGAGGATTCGATGATCCAAACCATGACCCTTGCAACCATAGGATATATGGCTCCAGGTGAAGCTTCTTCTTCTTCTTTAGATAGTTTATAACATATCTTTTTCATTATAAAACAACATTATTGAATACTGATAAACCCTTATATATAAATTCATATGTAGAGTATGGATCAGAAGGAATTGTTTCAATAAAAGGTGATGTGTATAGTTTCGGTATTCTTATGATGGAAACTATCTTGAGAAAGAAGCCTACAGATGAAATGTTTGTAGGAGAAATGAGCTTGAAGAATTTAGCGGAAGAGTCGTTAGCATCTATGCTAAACCAAGTTGGAGACGCCAATTTTCTAAGCACCACTGAAAAGAAACATTTGGTAGCCAACAATTGTGCATTATCAATTTTGCAAGTTGCATTGGAATGTTCAGGGGAGATACCAGATGAAAGGCTTGATATGAAACAAGTTGTTACAAAGCTAGAAAAGATCAAAGTCAACTTGTTGACGGATATTGAATGAATTTGATGATCAGGCATACAAGTACTATATGTTCTCTTTGATGGGTATTTAGGATAATAAAAGAACTCTGATCTTTGTATAAATTATTTTAATCCAAGAAATCATAGTAACGAACAAGCTGTTGAAAATTCAATATTAGCCTAAATAAGTTCACACCTAAATTAATTTGATGTCATTGCTTACATCAATTTAGTTTTGATGTCATTGCTTACATCAATTTAGTTAGGTGAAAATTAAGTATTTTTCTCATGTTTTAATTTCAATGGTTTAGATTATTTAGTGCTTATTTTAATGAGAGGTTTAGATTGTTTCTTGTAACCTATAAATACCCTACTTGTATTTGAGTTTTATCATCCAACAATCAAAGCTTAATTATAAGCATTTGAAAGCTTTCTTAAGAGTTCTTCCCTTTTGCAATTTTGTGAGATTATTCTAAAGAGTCTTTTCTTCTTCTCGATCAATTAGAGTTTTTACTCTATTTTGATTCAACAATTGGTATCCGAGCCACGTTTTTAAGGTCTCTTGAAATTCTAAGTATGCTCTGTGGCTGCAGTTTTTAACTGATCTTCCACGTCAGAAGATATTTCTTAAGTTATTGTCGGGGTTATTACAAACCTTGTGGAGCTTCTTTGTGTTTAGAGTAATTTAGTACTCTGCACGTTTGTTACTCAAGCTTGTTCGGTGTAGTCAAAGCATTGCCGTTAAGATGGGTGATCTTCAAGTAGTTGGAGGAATCAAGAAGCTCAACAACAAAAACTACAACACATGGGCAACATGTATGGAGTCATACTTACAAGGTCAAGACCTTTGGGAGGTTGTCGGTGGTGGTGAAGTTACACAACCGGCGACAGAAGATGCCAATGGAATCTTGCGAAAGTGGAAAATTAAAGCAGGCAAAGCAATGTTTGCTTTAAAGATCACAATTGAAGAAGAAATGTTGGAGCATATTCGGGATGCTAAAACACCAAAGGAAGCATGGGACACTTTTGTTACACTCTTTTCGAAGAGGAACGATACAAAATTGCAACTTCTCGAGAATGAACTTCTATCAATGGAGCAACGCGACATGGCGGTTGCCCAATACTTTCACAAGGTGAAGTCGATATGTCGCGAAATTTCAGAATTAGATCCGACAGCTTCTATTGGGGAAGCCAGGATAAAAAGAATAATTGTCCATGGTTTGAGACTCGAATATCGAGGGTTTGTTACCGCTGTACAGGGATGGCCGATACATCCATCGCTTGTTGAGTTCGAAAATTTAATTGCAGGTCAAGAAGCCATGGCCAAGCAAATGGGAGGAGTCTCGCTGAAGGGTGAAGAAGAAGCGCTCTACACCAGCAAAAGAAGAGGCACTTTTCAGCGGTATACTGGCAGTGGATCTAAAAAGGATGGTGACAAGGTGAAAAATTACCAAGGAAAATGAGGCACTCATTCAGGGGGAACATCCAAGAATCGCGGTAATAGTAGAAAGTTCGATGGCAAGTGTTATAACTGCGGCAAGATGGGTCACATGGCAAAAGACTGTTGGACCAAGAAAAAGCCTGTTGAAAGTAATACTGCTACTTCTTGTTCGAACGAGAATAGTGAAGATGGTTGGGATGCTGAAACGTTTTTTGCTACGGAGGAAGAAGAATTAGCTCTCACGGTAACAACACCAGAACGAATTGACTACAAGAATGATTGGATCGTAGATTCTGGCTGCTCAAATCATATGACGGGTGACAAACAGAAGTTGCAAAACCTGTCTGAGTATAATGGAGGTCGTATGGTGGTGACAGCTGACAACTCAAGGTTACCGATAACTCACATCGGTAAGACAATAGTTACGCCTCGATATATTACTAACCAGGTGCAACTCCAAGATGTTTACCATGTCCCAGGAATGAAGAAAAATTTGCTATATGTGGCTCAACTAACATCATCAGGCCATTATGTCTTATTTGGTCCCCAAGACGTGAAGGTTTATCGTGACGTCAAAATCTCAAAAACACCAACAATGGAGGGACGACGTTTGGAATCAATTTACGTGATATCAGTAGAGTCTGCATATGTAGACAGGACAAGGAAAAATGAGACATCAGATCTATGACACATGCGGTTAGGTCACGTTAGCTATTCCAAGCTAAGTGTGATGGTGAAAAAGTTGATGCTTAAGGGGCTTCCTCAACTAGACGTGAGAACAGACACGGTCTGTGCGGGATGCCAGTATGGTAAAGCACACCAATTACCATATGACCAGTCAAAGTTTAAAGCAAAAGAACCGTTGGAGTTGGTTCACTCTGATGTGTTCGGACCGGTTAAGCAACAATCAATTAGCAGTATGCGGTACATGATAACATTCATTGATGACTTCTGTAACATCCCAAACTATAGGTTAGTGACTAAATGGTAAAGTTTCAAAATTTGGCGATTAAAGTAGAAGAATGGATTAGTTCAATGATTTATCTGGAAATAAATCCTAAAAGTTGTTAGTAATTATCAAATCAAGTAGAGGACAAAATGGTCATTTAGCTAATAAATGAATTAAAAATAAATATGATAAGGATATATATGTTAGAGGGGATAAGGATGAAGAGATATTCTCTTCATCTTCTTCTTCTTCTTCATGTACGAGAGAAAGAAAGAGCCAAGCTTGCAAAGGTAAGATTCTTTGTTAGCTGATTCTTTGTTAATTTTAAGAATGGGTTTTGATCATTAGGTAATACTTAAGCTTATGGAAAGCTTAAGTTGTCTTAAAATCAAAAGATGAAGAAGTTATAAGAGATTTAAGAAAACAAGTTTTTATATGAAATCATGGAATATAGTTGATAAGTTGAATCTTAAGTTGAATTTGACTTGTCATCTATGAGAATAAGAAGATAGAAGTGTTAGAATTGTATTTAGAACATATTGAAATTTGAGTAAGATTCTTGAATTACATATAAAGGATAGGATTTTGAAGTCATAGAGGATTTTCATGGATATAAGTTAGTTTAAGTAATGATAGTTGGGTTTAATGACATGGTAGGGGTTTAAAATAGAAGAATTGAAGGGAAAAATTGATGATTTTCGAGCTTAAAATACAATTTCTGGGTAGAGGGAACCGATACCCTATGAATGGGAATCGATTCCCCCTCTTGAACGAAAAATTCCAGTATGTTCAGGGGGTATCGATTCCCTCTAAATAAAAATATAGAATTTGATTCATTAAACCGGTTTAAGTTATTAACATCAAGTTTAAAGTTTAGGCTTCTGATAGTTGTTTTGAAATGATATATTTATGTAGATATTGAGCCTAAACAAGTTCCGGAATAATCAAAGGATTATAATCGAATCAAAGCAAGGCTAAGGTGAGTGCAATTTAAATTGTACTTATGTGATTGATCAAACATTGGCTTGCGATGAGTCAATGATAGAGTTACTATGGTAAGAAGTAACTTATAAAATGTTATGTGATTACTATGTGTGCATTAGTACATAGAAATGGATGTATGTTTATATGTTACATGATTTACATGCTTACGTGAAAATGCAACATATGCTATTAGATATATGTTTACACATACATGTGGTATGTGACAGAAGAGAAGGAACATGTGATTATGAGATCAATGATTACACGTACATGTGATACGTGACTGAAAAGAAAAGATATGTGTTTATAAGAGAAATAATATGAATAAGTAATGTGAACTGTTATAAATGATAATGCCCATGTTATGTGATATGAGAGCTAGGGGTATAGTTGGCATGCCAAGGGTCGAGGGTTTACCTATGTTCTTCGGGACATATGGACCGTTTACCTATGTTCTTCGGGACATATGGACTGTTTACCTATGTTCTTCGGGACATATGGATTGTTTACCTATGTTCTTCGGGACATATGGACTGTTTACCTATGTTCTTCGGGACATATGGACTGATTACCTAGGTTCTTCAGAATCTATGGACTGGTCCTTCGGGACATTTATACGAGCTGTTGTGACAGCATAGTGGTGCACAACCTCAATGTACTCACATACCTTAAGTTCTCACGTATGTACATGGGTTAATCAAGAGAAAATAACAAATATGTGTTGTGATATGATAAATTTAACATCAAGGACATGAGGATGTATAGATTAAGTGTATATGTTATGTGGTTAAATGATAGTGACTAATGATGATTTATATGATGATGTCAGTATGGCTTGGTTAATTGAATGATATGTTGAGTAAAAGAATGTATATAAGAGGATATAATTATAAGATATAAATGTTAAGAATATTGATAGTGAACTAAGGATAGAGATTATGATAATGATGGTATATGTTTATGTATATTTTATGTTATATGAAATATTATATGTTTTATATGCCTCACTAAGTCATCGACTTAGCGTGTGATTGTTTCACACGTAGGTTTGGAAAGCAAAAAGAGAAGTAAAGAGGAACAAGACAGATCAGTTCTCCTTACCGAATGTCAGATCCGAAGATAGGTGAATAATACGTATTTTTGTATATAAAGTTCTAGTTGGCATGTAATCAAAAGAATATATTGTATAAGCTCTGAATATTTTTGTAAATGTTTTGAATAAGTTAAATGTTATAAAAGTTTTTAAATTACTCAATATTTTATACGAATAAATGTTTGAAAAGTCAATGTGACACTTCGGACTCGTATCCGGGTCGGATACGGGTTGGGGGTGTTACATTTAATGGTATCAGAGCTACGGTTTAGCCGATTCTAGGCTAAAAACGAAATCAAAAGTGTTTTAAAAGTGTACATGCCAACACAAAGTGGGGAAAAAAATTCTGATCTGATAGGGTAAGGAGTGTGTTGTCTTGTTAATAGAGTTAAATTGTTATGTTATATAAGATATGTGAATACCAGAGAATGATTTATGAAATTTATATATATGTTTATATGATATGATGGATGATATGTGAACATATGCAATTGACATATGTTATACAATATGAATTGGATGAGCATATACACACGTGATATCTGATAGAAGAAATGATATGAGCACATGAAAATATGAGAGTTTCCAAAGTGAAATACAAGACGATAGACC